TTTGAGCAAGGATAAGGGGTAAATATGGAAACTCATCCAGGAGAAATGAAAAAGACAATAGATCAGTCAAAGGGGCTGTAGTGAAGAGTGGGAACAGCTTTATATAATGTTTGTCTAGTTGATAGCATCATCTACTATATAAGTAACCACTTAGGTGAACATTTTATTATTTTCTATACACATTTTCCACAGCTGGCAAGTGTATTTGTTTACATATCTATAAACCAATCTGCAAATATTGCTCTCAAGCTACCCGTGTGTCAGAATTATAAATGCACACTATTACAAGTTTATTTGTGAAATAATCCATATGAGCCCAGTTATATGTCAAGCTCTGCGGCTTATTTTTTGACAGTTATAAATGTGTAGATAAGTTTCTTTCCTTGGTACTATTTCAATTTTCATGTTATTTTTGGGGAGAGAGAACGGCCAGAGCATCTTCTAGTGCACCCTGCTGGCCACATACAGCTTCTCAAAGTCTGAGGGCCTTGCTGGCTTGAGTAGTTTGAAAAACTTCATATTCTTTTAATATGTTAGAAAATGCTGTTTTCTGTAGATCAGAGCAGGTTTAGAGAAGGTATTTAAATCAGGCTGCTTATGATTCAGTAGCACGTTACCAACAAGGCTATGGGCTATTCAAGATACTTCTCTTTTTTGTGTGAATCCCTCTCTCTGAGTGTCTCAGTTTCTTTCTCAGGTTCTCCAGATATTGCTACGTTCCTCACTTTCCCACCTGATCTTCCCACATTTAAAAGACTTACTTTTTCTTGCTCTCAATTTATTTCCTGTATTGGAGTTATAATTTTGGAGGTCTTGTATAATTTTTTATAATTAGTTTGCTTATGATGATATGAGCGCCCTTAAAAACAGATTTCAGTAGTGAAAAAGGTTTGAGTTTGAAGCCTTTCGTTAAAAAGAGGCTATTAAGTTATAAAAAATTCTTACTTGTAGATTTTTGTTTATAGTTCAGAACAAATAAGTTCTTCAAATTCAAGCTTTTGTGCCTGCTGTTTAGGGAAGCAGAGTTCTGGATCTTTGAGCCTAAGCTTCTTTGTTGGTCCAAGGAGAAACACTGAAAATCAACATTTTCTCAAATTCCACTATTATAAATGTGGATATTCTAACAGCTCTCTTAATTGCTCTCTAACAAATCTCTTTAAGTGGTCTCCATAAAATAATATTAAAACAGTTGTGGTACTTTAAAATAAGCCAACTATTTTGAGTGTCACATATCAAACACTATTGAACTGAGGTCAGTGTGTCAGTCATGTTCTTCCCAGTTAGTTCTTTTTGCATTTGTTACAGCTCTCCCCTGAGGAGTGGAGGGATGTCAGAATCCTGCTTTTTAGTGCTGCATGTGGGACCAGAGCTTTTGCTGGTATTGGGCTATTCTGTTAGTGCCACAGCTGTAGTCTGACACTAAAAGAAGCATAAGTGCCTCAGAAATGGCTTCCTTTTTGAAGGTGAATGTTGCTCTACTTTTTGCAGAGTTAGTATAAATCCTTGCATTACACTGGCACTCCTACCTGTTGTTAGTATGGTAGGAAATGGAATGAGGGCTGCAAAACATGGAAATAACTGATGTGTCCTTCAGATATGGTGACATCTGGCTGGACTTTTACCACCTGTTCATGAAATCTCATTGGTTGCTTCATGGCAGCCTAACAAACTTCACACCATGATTGGGTGTTTTGGACACTTGAGAGATGTACATCAGTATCAGCAAAACCACAAGTGAATCTTTGCAAGAGTGTTATCCTTTGAACTTAAGGGAATATTTTTGAATGTCATTGTAAATAAATACAGAAAATTGCATATTGGAAGGATTCATAATGTACATTTAAAAAAAGCAGTCTTATTCTGAGTTTCTGCTGATGCCGTATGAAATAGTCAGGTTGACTTCATGTCTTATTGAAAGTGCCTTGTTGAAAATTCTGCCCTCAAAGTAATCTTCATAGCAGAATGATGTGAACAGTCGAAGTGTAGTCATGCTTTCTAGGCTCATATTTTGCTTATGCGCTTTGGTGAAGACATACGTACTTCTTTTGCATCTCGGAAAGATATCGTAATGTTTCAAAGGAGAATTAGGGGTTCTTGACCTGATTTATCTGCTGAATTTAATTTGGTTAATTATTTCAACTTTAATAAAATGCATTATTCTTAATTTCCTGTCCTAACATGCAATGCAGAGTTCACTGCATTGATACTACATAAACAGCAGTGTTTCATACTACAGGTAGATATGATTTTGGAGCCCTTGAGGTAGAAAGCATAATATATGTATAAAATGATATCATCTGCTCAGTAAAAGTTTAAGCAGAATAACATCAATAAAGAGTAAAAGGAATAGCAAATGTTTATGCTTAGAATTTTCCACTGTATTACTTCTCATTAAAGACATAAATATTGTCAGAGTGGGGAAAACCTGAAAATAGAGAAAGGATTGTTTCCACTGGTCAAACTTGGGAGTTGTTTTCCTGATGAATAGCATAAGTTAATGATTCCCATCTGGTTTTGACCCACGAGCAGTGATGCTGAACAGTGATATTGCTATAGCTGAGGTCACAATTTCTTAGCTTCAGGTTTAATATTTTTTTGTATGCCATGACTTGGACCACTATTGGCAGGTATGATGGGTAGTGTATCATTTGCTCTCCAGAGTTGGAGATTGCTGCTGTAAGCAACTGCTTTTGATGCTCTCACTCTACATAGGGCATAGGAAGGAAATTTGAATGTATGATGGCCTAAGTTTGCTTTTAGCATTTTCCATATTGTAACTGAAATTATATATATATATATATATATAGTTGTAATTTCAAAGAGGGAAAATATCTGTAATTGGTGGAAAGTGGGTCTGATTGCACCTTCAACAAAAGTAAACCAATGCATGTGGGCAAAGCACAGAACAAGTGGCTACTTACACAAGCATGCTTTAGAAATTGTCCTGGTAATTGACATTAATCTTTCTGATGCCATAGTTAAGGGACATTATTTGATGCCCTCACTCATATAGCATGCAACTGGAGAGCCAACCCAAACAGAACAAAATGGAGAAGCTTAAAATGGTAAATGAAGCTACCTATCCAGTGCCAGGGTAACACCTTAGTCCCATATGGCTTCAGTGGGCTTTCAAATCACTGCATCCAGTTTCTTTGTTAATATGGACTCTTCTAGCATTGTAACTTGAATTTTGCCAGACCGGGCAGTCTGAGAGGTAGCCCCCTCTGGTGAAGGATGATAATGACGAAGTGAAAAATGTGTTGAGTATCAGAGCAGCTAAAGAGAGCCCAGCGAGCCGTGTGAGTGTGCAGGGGTGAAAATGGGATAAGGAAGGAAGGACTAAACAATAAAGAGGAACGAGGCTGAAGACAGCTAAGCTACATTTGATGCACTGCAGAAGTATACTGTCTTTTGATCATATAGGTATTTTCTGTGAGATTTTTTAAATTCTTCTACTACTTGCCAATCATTTTTCTAGAAAAGATGGAGTTCAGTAAACATGAAAATACCCACCGCTCTGTGGGATGTCAGGTTCATTTAGTTGCAATTCAGAAATTTCAAATGGTTTCAGTTGCTAGAAAACAGCAATTTCCTCGTTGTCTCACCCAAAGTTTATGCAGATGTTTGAAATCTTGTGCCTACCGTATCAGAAACACCAATTTCATCTTGATTTCTCTCCAGTATCACCTACTTCCTGCAAAATCTGGAAGCCTTGCATTTACCACTTCAAATTCTCTGCCAAGTTCCTTTCAAATTTTTTTTTGCTCCATTTTTGTCTCACACATTTATTATATGGTGACAAATGCAGTTTTCTTCTGACACCACATAATAGAAGTGTGAAACACACACACATGTTCTAGTAAAAGACTGCTCTTTATTTCCTGGCTCCAGTTGCAAAACATGAGTCAGGGTTAGAAAGGTTGTACCTCTGTCAGAGATGTGTAATCCACATCCTCAAAATTCCCTAGCTTTTGCTACAGTAGTGGTGAAAAATGGAAAATCTTGTTCTCCTATTCCTATACTCAGTGTTCCTTCCTCCCCAAGCATATATTTTCTTAATTTTCTAATCACCATTCCCTTTTATTGATTACATTTACTCACTTCAGAGATTGATGCTGTCATTAACAGGAAAAAACACCTCCTAGAACACGAATATCAGCATTCTGAGTGTGGGAAATACAGCAGCCTTAGAGACTATATACTCCCACTATATTCTGGCTTTAATGCAGAGCAGAAACATTACTAGTCCCTTTGCTGTGAATTCCAGGCATTGTTTTCTCTGCATCAAATGATATCTGGTGTTCTGCTGTATAATTTTAGGTAATGACCAAATAGCCTTTCAACAAGTCTCTACTGACATAACATGCCATATCTGTTTTTATCAGCTTTAAGTGTTCTGTAAACTTCTGCAGTGTGTAGGGTGCCTCAGTGAAATAGGAAACCAGCAGATCTTTTGTGAACTAATGTGGAATAAGCCCCATGTTACAAGTTACAACAAAACCAACCAACCAAGCAAGCAAAAAGAGAAAACTGAGCACATTATCACTTCCTACAGGATCCAAACAGGCCAGGAATTTCACATGGCAGGCAGTTATTCTGCAGTTACCCATGGGTGATTGAAAGCAGCAGGAACAATGGTGCTTCCAAAAAACAGAGATTTGTATTGATTTTTTTTCTAAACCATTTTATCCCATAAGGTCCTCGTAGTTGGGTTGCTCCTGAGTAGAATGAGAAATAACTGGGTGACATGCTGTGAAAAATTCTGAAAATGAGAAAGGCTATCCCATTTTCCAAACAGAGCAGAAAAACACCAATTCCATTAGGCAAGATGGAACAGACAGTTAAACTGGGCATGCTTTTAATTTTGAAGCTAACCAGATAACTGATGCTTTTTTCAAAAGTAATGACTATTGAAGTGATTCTTTTAAAGTGAAGCACAACCACTGTTTTCCTTTCTAAAATTAAAGCATTTACCTTATACAAAGTATAAGAAATGTTACCTGTTGCCTCCACCATTCCTTCTAGGATTACAACAATTTCTAGCTCCTCTTTGGGCAACTGGGCTTTGGAAATCTCCCAGAAAGGACTCTGCTGGTTAATTTCATGGCTGATGATCAGTGGTGAAACCAAAAAGAGACGATCATCCCCTGTGTAATAACCTACGTTGATATCTGTCTGGTTGAGTGGTATAAATTCCCCCTCCTTTGTCTGTTTGGATTTGATCAACTTGGCTCGTATTGATGCCTCTACAATGTGTGAATTCCTAAGGTCTCCTACTCGGAACATCAGACACAGCTTTCCATCCCGCATGGAAATAACTGCGTTTGTAGAAAAAACCAAGGTTTCTGCCCTCTTCTTGGGTTGGGATATTTTCACAAACATGCAGCCAACCATGAAAGCGTTGACGATAGAACCTAAAACAGACTGCACTAAAAGCAGAATAATTCCCTCGGGACACTTGTCCGTGATGACCCGGTAACCATACCCAATGGTGGTTTCTGTCTCGATTGAGAATAAAAAGGCTGAGACAAACCCATTGAGGTTGCTGACGCATGGGGTCCACGTGCTGTCCCCTATATGATCCATATCTCCTCGCATGTAGGCAATTAGCCACCATATCATTCCAAAGAAGAGCCAGGTCACAGTGTAAACCATGACAAAAATCAACAGGTTGAACCTCCACTTGAGATCGACTAAGGTAGTGAAGATGTCAGTCAAGTAACGATAAGTCTCTCTGACATTCCCATGGTGGACGTTGCATTTCCCATCTTTCCTAACATACCTCTGGATTTTTCTCTTGGCACAATCTTTGTTTATATTTTTTGGCAGATCCTCTCTAGCTTGTTTGGGCAACTTTGGCTGATGAATAGCGACAGGGCTCTCTATGTCTTGCTCCATTGAGTCTTCTTCCAGTACGTTAGCTGCCATGAAAAACAAACAAGAAAAAGACAGGCGTTATTTTTCTTATTATTTCTCTATGTCAACACACAGCTTCTTTTGGTAGTACCGGCATTTGCTAGTAATTTGCTAGTAATCAATAAAATTATTATCCTCATTCTTTGCTCACCTATTAAATGCACAACAGAAAAGCCAAATGATGCCAAGCATCCTCAATTTATTGCTAAATAGAAATACTATGAAGGAAATGTCTCATTTCCTATCTATTAGGTCATCCTTTCTACACCCATATTTAAATTCTGCAAGATGTGTTTAAGCAGATCTTTCTTCCCCTCACCCCCGTTAACAGTTTAATATATGAGATTTCTTATGCACCAAGTAAGATCTAGGAGATAGCAGATAATAATGAGGAAATGGATTCACTTGGGGGCTTTAGACAACAATATGAGCAGAGAAAATGAAAAATTGTTGAGCTGTTTTTTCTATCAATTGCATTGTTATGGGGCAAATATAAAACGAGTATAAGAAGTTTATAAAAAAAACAAGAAACATCAGTTTTAAGAAAGAACAATCCTACTCTTGTTGAAGGAAAGGCAATCTACAGAGTAATGTATACCAAGATCAATTCAAGTACATTTCCATAGAAAATCAATGTCTCGCTGATATTGAGACAGGGAATTGTGTGTCCTTCTCCCAGCAATGCAAAACATAGAGTACTTCATAACATGATTTCATTTTAATTCAGTGTGCCTGTGGCCTTTGATTCAAATGTACCTTTTTCTCTAACTGTGTGGGCATAAACAGCATTCCTCTGTAAGTATCTTTACAGGTATTTAAAACCCCAAAATGCCTGTAACTGCGTTTCTTTTTAACTTTACTTTCCCAGCATTTTGAGATAAATAGCTTCATTATCTTTATGTACAAGAAAAAAAAAAGAGCATATTGGGGAGGAGAGTAGTTTAATCAAATGTGTTTTGCATGAAGCTGAGGACACTGGGAGGTCTGGAGTAACTGTTGCCTTTCCTGGAAAACCTTCTGCTCTCTGGGACTTACTCCTGCAGGAATTTCAGCTCCTGAACTCCTAATTTTTTCCTTTCTGGCTAACTGCTTCTGCCACCAGGCTGTGAAGGGAAGAACCTTCTGCTGGTTCCTCCTAGATGCTTAACTCTGAATATAGCGGCACTGGTATGATGTTGTACCATCGGTTTATGGAGATGCTTCTCCTGAACAGTCAGGGCTTTGACCTATGTGGTGTTGGTGCTGTGAGTGGTGACCTTCAAGCTGAGAGCTGAGAGCAAGCAGCTTCGGTTGGGAAGTACTTCACTTCCCCAAGAGTTGGTTGCCTCTGAGTACCTCTTGCCTGGTTGGGAAATGGAGGCGTAAAACCATCAAAGCTCCTGCTTGACACAGCAGTCCTGTCTCTGGCACTGGAGAGGCTTGAATGTGTCCACCTGGCACTGCCCTGGGCAGTAGAGCCAAACGCATTTTCATGGAGGAGCTCAGGGGAAACCTGAGCTCTTGTCCAGAGGGTTTCATGAGAAGTGCTTCTGGTGGGTCAGTATAGCCTGAAGAATATTTTAGTCTCTGACTCTTAGAGACCTGTGCTACATAGCAGATCATCTGTGAAGTATCATAGCATCTGTAGCTTTTTCAAGATGTGCGAGCTCATCCCTGTGGAGAAAGTTCACGGACCCTTGTAAAGTTTTAGGGATTACTGAAATACCCAGGAAAAAAGAAAGTGTTGAAGACTGGTTGTTTTTCTTGGCCAGCTCCATTGACAGCCAAGCTTCTGTTCAGCCCACAGCCTTTTCTGTTACAAGAAAGGCTCTGGCCTGACTCTCTATTAACAGTAGCATGAAAACCTGATAGCAGTACTGTTTTTAAGACTGTGTGCTCCATCCTGTGTCATCTCTTCAGTTTGATGCTGCCTCTAAATAGAGCATTATTCAGGCTGATGGTGGTGACAGAGCTGGAAGTTGTGTCACAAGGCAGTCAGTTCTGAATGAACTTACCCCAGTTCGTGACAGTGTGCCTACTTGCATTATCACTAATGCTATATAATGTATGACGAAATCAACACAATAAAAAGGCATTGCAGGAACCTTGTGAGGCAGACTTAAACCAAAGTCAGAAGATTTGAAGTTAAGGCATCACACTTTACGCTTAACTCTCTATTGTGCCTAAGGGGATTTCAGTCCACAGGAGCTATCACATCATGCAGTAATAGACCCCTCAAATAATTATGAACAGCCTATGAAGGCTCTGGCTTTTGAGACCTGAATGGACTGTATGTTGGACTACTGATGCTGGTTTAATGTGGCTCATTAAGACATTTGAATGTTTTACTTTACCCTCCCAGCTAGTGCCTGACATTAACTCAGAAACAGGGTGCAAGCATCCCCTGTTGCCTTTGAGAATATACCTTACTTATAACCTTGCTGTTAAAGTCAACCATATACTAGACTTCCGTGTCTGAGCATCTCTTACCAGAAACAGAAAAGTGTGCTAAAAACCATAGCAGAGCTGAGAGGGGACACAGGTGCTGGTTTTATTACTAGCATCAGGAGAAATCTGAAGGGACATGCCCATGCAGGAATGCCTACGAGTCACATGCTGCACAAGTGTAGCCTGCTTTTCATGCAGCATATATTTCCTATAGAAGTACTTGCTAACAGTGAATCACCTTTTTATTCATACAATTATTGATGCTTTCAAAATGTTTTTTCTTGATTTCAAGCCCTTGTGCATTGCAACCAACCTTTCCCGTCTTTCACAGCACATGAGCTGACCCACAGAGAGAGCTAAGGGCCACATTTTCTCAAGTGGCCATAGGTTTGGTAGCAGGAGCAAGGAGCTGCTGTGCTCTTCAGCACATGGTGGTGGGCTGTCACTGTAAACAGGCTTCAGAGACCTGCCCCTTCCAACCTGGAAGGATTTTTCTTAACCTTGAGAGGTCACATCAGAGCTGACTGCCGTCTGGGTATATAAGCGAGCAGCTTTCGACAACCAAAACCAGTGACTACATTTAACCAAAGTCTCCCTCAGCACAGCATCTCGCTAGCACATGTTAATCTCCCTGGGGGCACCTGACCAATTCATAAACTCTTCAGGCTCTTTCCAGTGCTGTCATTTCCCAGCTCTGAAGCAGCCTCTGAGAATGAAAATCAAGGTCAAGTTTTTAGTCTTTCTCTTTATGCAAGATGCTGTTTTACACTTTTCCTCACCTAAGTTATCCTGCTGTGAGACTCAACAAATACATCTATGGGGAAGTCTCTAGATCACAGTCACAGCTCATCACTGTCTCCTGGTCTGAGCTCTCACTCCAGAAGGAACCTTGGGAGCAGCAGTTTCTGAAATAAGTGATCCAAGGATTGTGCATCTGTGTGTTTCCATGGAAATGCCTGATGAATAAGTTTTAAACACATGGCAGGATCCCTTTTCACCACTAAGGCTGAGGAACAGCTACATATTGTCAGTGCCTTTGCCACAAAACACTTCAACTAATTATATTTTTGCTTGATCTAAAACCAATTAGCTTATGCTGTTTATATAATTTAAATTTCTTTTCAGTTATATAATGGCTGTCATGGTTCCAGGAACAGGGGATAGCAGCTATCTCACTTGAGAGCTATTTTTACTCTCTTTGCTTTTCTTCATGACAAAAATATATACATAATATTAACCTGTACTGAAAAAAATTAAAAGAGATACCAAAGAAAAAGTCCCTAGTTTGGAACAGTTACCTCTCTCCCAGCAAACATTTTGTTTGTTTGAACACACAGGTCAGCTAGAAATACTGCGCCAATTTAGGCCAATGTAGACTATTCTGATCAAAGCATTTGCTTCAGTGAGTCTTTTAGGCAAACGTGTATGTGATGTATGAGATTTTAGTGACTTATTTTCCAACAAGTCAAAAGGAGTGCTCCTAAATAAGCCCCTGAATAGTTCACTTGTGTTTATCATAGCACTATGTACTGGCTATGGCTATATTAGCAAATTGAATGTGCCTGGGCCTATTCTTCAGCATGGAGGCTAAATGGAGTGATGCAGCCCACACTTGTACTATTGAATGCCTGTTGTTTTCAAAGCAGGGTAGTCTCATACAGTCTGCTTATTAGCAATAGTCTTGAGTCCCATGCTAACACCTGAAATGTAGCCAGAAATTGAGTGTACTAAGTTCCGCACTGGTCAAAACCATGCCAGGAGCTTTTCTAGGAATTTTACCACACAAGGTGTTGTGTGCCAGTGCACGGGAACATTTTATTTTCCAGTAAAGATGGAACCAGTATTGTGGCCCTGGTGTTGTCTACTCCAGAACAGCATTGTACAGGCACAGTCCAGTGTTTTCAAGCACATATTTTTTAGATTCTGCCAAATAACATGAATCCAGTGTCAACAACAAACCATGAAATGCAGAGAAGATGCTCTCACGACTTCCATGACTCTGAATGTAACATGTTATTGTAATTCAAAGCAATCATTTTATCATTGACAGTGTGACTTTTTTTGTACTTTGGTAGTGCTTCAGAAATCTTGTGATCATACTGTACAAATACAAAAGCAAAAGGATGTATTTAAAGGGCAAACTTGTCTGATTGAAATATTCGTAGCCTGTTTTCACTGTATACTGTATTAGAGTTGTAGGATGATCTGCAAAATAATTAGGATTTTCAACAGAGAATATTACATTTTAGAACTGACCTTTTCATAGCAGAAACTGATATAGAGTTCAGTGAATGTTTCTCTGTACTTTAGTAGACTAATTTTATCTCTTGTAACACAGTTGTGAGTGGTTTGTATACAAATTCACTGAAAATTCACTAATTTAAAAAAATATAACCTACAAATTGTTCTCAAGGGCTTTATTGCGCATATAAAAACGTCAAGCAGACATCATTTTGACTGTGATTTCTGTCTGCATGCATGTCACACCCCACTTTCCTGATAGGATGAGGCTAACTTTTTAGTTACTTGTATGTTTGCATTTGTAAGATCTGAGCTTGCGTTTTGTGAACAGTCTTCA